CAATGAGAAAAGAATTCCAAGATATGTCAGGTTATGGAAGGAAGTGTGATAAGGATGTTTATAAGAAAATTAGAAAGATTGCAAAAATATATGACACGAATAAGAATGAGTTTAATGAAGAGGAAGCTGAAAAACATATTCTAGATCTTGAAAAGTATATAGAACCATTCCGAAATTGTTTCGAAGCCGTAAGCACATTTGCAAACAAATTCGTGAGTTTACCTTTCTGGAAACTTCGGAGATAGTACGAATTCACCAAGAACGCGATGCACAATCTTAAAACTATAATCGATATGACAATGGCTGAAATTTTCAAGTTTCAAAAAGACATGAAGATGAGTCAAAACTTATGGAAAGATGGGTTCAAATCGAATCTCCTCGGTTCCTTTGGCAGAAAAATTGTTCACACCCTAAATGATTTTTTAACCGACGTCCATCGTCTTGACCCAGTGCCTCCAACCTTGACCGTCGGTTTTCTGTAACCCAAAGATTTGTTGTCTATTCCAAAGGATCTCCAGAATCCATGGTTCAAAAAATATTTCATCCGTGGATCATCGTTGATTAAGAATCAGTCCAAAGCTTTGGAACCGCTAAATCCAATTTCAGTGTCGATTCAAACTTTGGAAAAAGAATGGCTAGATTTCAGAAGGTCTATTCGCAGAGATTTCGATGTAAAGAACGTTAATCGTACTGCTTTGGTTCTGCATAACTTGGAGAATCTGGTCCAAAACCAGACAATTTCATATGATGAGATTTTGAAGAGCGAGAGTGGAAAGTTGGAAAAATGCGTTTTCCAGCATGGCAAGAATTTCTATAAACTCTCTGAGAATTACGAGGCTGAAGAAACTAAATCAACAACAAATGAGGTCTGGGAAGTTCTGGATAATATTCATGATACACTGAGAATGGCATTTACAAACGATCCGATCGAGGAAGGGATCAGTCAAGAAGTGGCTCGGACATGCTTGAATTTTGCGATGCAGAAGTTTTACGATTCATCAAATTCTCATTATACGAAACCGTCTACATTACTCAAACTAATATTATTGAAGCATTCTGGTATTGTACCATCGATCACGGAAAAGATCTCGATTCGTACTCCTTCTTGAAACTATTCCAAAAACTTGATGAACCTTTGGATTCACTTCCTGTAGTTGTAGAAGCATTTCTCAATGAACCTCTAGCATTTCCAACGTATCCTGTATCTTTTCAAGAAATTTTGAATTCATCGAAATTGGTTGAAACAGTGGATTGTTTGAAGTGAGTGTAACAGGAAGAATTTTTTGATTGATTTTTTCTTTTTGCAGGCAGCAGAAGCTCAAATTCAATGAATTGAGGAATATTGCTTATTTTGTTGGAAATTTAACGAAATTTCCGAATTCAAGCATCACCAACGAATCGATAAGTTTTCTAGAACATACAATTAAGGTTAGTTTTTTAGAAAAATAATTGTATTGATTACTGCCGAACTTCGTTCGATCCTTGGGTTTTTGGGTACCAAGGAAGTTGTTGTCCTTGGATTTACCTTTAAACAATTAGAAATTTCGAAAACATACAAAAATACGTTTTTGAATTTTCGAAATTATTGGAGAACTTATTTTCGAATTTTCGGATTTTTAGAACTTTGGATAATCCTAGAATTGTCAAAGGACCAAAATAACCGACTAGAGACAGAAAATTTTTACTGTGGTAATCTTTTTAGAAACCTAAGTATATTGGGTCAAACTAATAATTCCTTCTTTAGGTTCAAAATGCTTTGAAGACGGTTAAAACAAAAATGATGTATGCAACAGGAAATCGAACAAAACGAGATGCTTCTAATTCTTCAACAAACCCAGTTTTGACTTTAAAAAACCCAAGGCTACATTCTGAAAATATGGGAATATGTTCTCTTGCTCTTTGGAATCTTGTGAAAGTGCTAGAGCTAAAAACACCTCTTCTGAAAATTGGAGAATTCAATGAAAAAGTGAAAACTTCGATGACAGGCTATCCTGGTCTTACGAATTATATTCATGCCAAGGGTCTGATTCAAGACTTTCTGGACCAAGCGGAAGGAATTGAAAAAGAAGCCAAACAACTGAAAGACACGGATCCTTTAAAGATGGCTACAGTTTTTGCGAAGATGGCGAACCTCAAAGGAGTCCCCGGTGATAGGTAAATGTTACATAATTGGAGAAGTTGGAAATTTTTCCAGGGTATTTAAATAATTATGAATTTTTCCAGATTTGAATTTCTGGAACATGCATTTCAAAGAAGCAATAAATCATACGGATACACTGTTGGAGTTCATTTTAGACTTTGCAACATACCAATCTCAATTGCTAGATGGACGATTGACAGTTAACGCGTTGTCCAAATATTTTGATGAAATATTTGGGCATGTGAAAAATGTCAAATTGAAAACTGTAATCGTTGAGAAACAGTGAGTTTTGCTATAAAATAATATTTTTGAAGACAACATATTTTATTGTGAAGACAGATGAAAATGGAATTCTTGAAACGGATAATTTGAGTCTTCTCTTCTGGATGTTCCATGGTTGTATAATTGTAAAAGAGAAATGGATGACTGACTGTCTTAAAAACGAGAAACTCATCGAACAAGACTACAACTATCTAGTGGAAAAAGTGAAGTACAATGGGAAAGTCTTTGATACAGTAATCCAATGGTCGCAAGCAATGGCTAAGAGTGAACTACCGTATCTCTACGGCGTCCAGGTTGCCGTTGTGATGAAGGAGTGCCCGAATTGTGGGTGTTAATAGAAGTTTCCTTTTATTTATCATTTTTATCATTTTCAATGTTACTGCTATCCACCCTTGTAAATAACCATGGAGGTACAATGCTAAACGAGTTTCCAGTCAGAAAAAAGTATACACCTGGATCTCATCCGTATTGTCATATGCATTTAGGACCACTTTTTATCATTCATGATGGAAATGAAAGATGAAAATATAGCGATTCAGAAGATGTAATCTGATTTTTTTTCAGTATGATTTGAAAATCTACCAGAATGATAAAATGTTCACAGTATTCATGGAGCCGGAATTTGTCGAGTTCATGTTGAAGAGGGATATTCATAAGGACACTAATGAGAATCCTGGTAATGTTTTGAGAGATTTAAAATAAAATCATTTATTTTTAGTTAGTTGGTCGGTCGGGTCGCATTTTCTCATTTTGGACTGATGTAATCTAACAGAGCCGACATTTCTTTTTTTAATAACCAGCAAGCTGGTGCGCCTTCGGCGCGATTCAATCTATTTTTTTCAAATGTTCGTCGCTTCGTTTCTCACTTTTTCTAAATAAAAGGGTCACGTAAATATATATATGTGTTTTTCAATTTTTTCAAAAGTCCACATACGGACACGAGGACGGACAGATGCCTCTAGCGTTTTATTAATAAGGAAGATAATAATTTTATTGATTCAGGACTATCAGTCACTTATAAAATCAATGTGTTACAAATTAAACAAATGAGTTAGAAATTATGTTCGTCTAGAAACAGGAAAAAAGATAAATTAACGTTCGAAACACAACATGATTATCAGATAATACTGCAAATGTTTGAACAGTGTAGCTAGAAATTATATAGAGCCTATTTCAAAAATCACATTTAATTAAAAAAAACTTTATTCTTACAAGTAAGGGTGCCCGTTTTCATATTGAAATATTTGTGGATTTCAAAATTTCACGATATTTTTTCAAAAATTGGCAGTTTTACGTGAACTTACAGAATCGATCCGGGATCAGTTCTATATGTTTTTTCGCTCTCACAAAACTCACAGAATCGATCCCGCTATTGATTCTGTAGTTCACGGGGAAATACTAATATATTTATTTTTCAGGCTTCTTTTTTCAAAATTTACAGAATCGAAGACGGGATCGCTTCAGTGGTTCACGGAAAATATATCCCACGTTATTATTATTGTTGTTTTTTTAAAAACTTTTTTACAATAAATTAGAATTTTTTGTTGACCTGAATTTCTGATGAAAAAATAAACTCATCTCCCATAAAAAACCTAAAAGTGCCGTATTCAAGATATTTCTGTGAAAATCTCACCAGCAGACATGAAAAAGTTATAAAATACCTAGAGTTATTTTTTTCTGTATAAAGTCTACATATTTTTCTAATTTATGAAGACTTTTGAATCAGAGTTTGAAATTTTCAAATTTTAATCTTCTTATATTATCAAAAGTGTTTTTTTTCCGTTGAGATATTTTTGATACCTTTCACAGGAACCCAGATACATTTGCTCAAAATTGAAAGTTAGTAGGTTGTTCAATTAGGTTTCGAAGACCCTTTTGGAAGTATCCGATTAAAAAAGCATAACAATTCCAATTGAACCATTCATTCCAATTCAAAACCCAGATATTCAAAAAATCGAATTTCTTCTCTACTTCTTATTCTTCGCGACAGCATCCGAGTTTGGACAACATCCACCATCGGCCACCAAAATAAATCCGTATGGGCACAATCCGTCGATCGCTGGCAGTGGTTCTGAGCTGCATCCATGGGCATCAACGTCTTAAAATTTTTCTCTATTTTTTCTGGAACCAAAAATGTCTAGAAAGTACCAAAAACGTTGTCCGAGCTGCAACATTTGTCTCCGGTTAAAAGTGTGGTCCCGTCGGGGCAGACTCCAGCGACAGCGTTGGTTGGTTCAGTTTTGCAGGCGAGATTTGTAGAGACTTCTGGAAGTTTCTGATAGTTGGAATTTTTGAACTTGTGAAAATTCTAGGATTGAAAAAAAAAATTGGATATTCTAAAAAATTAAAAGTCTCACCCTCAGCTAGAACGAAAATAAAAGCAGCGACAGCCAAAACAAAATTTCAGATTCCAAAACTGAGATTCTGAATCTCAGAACTCCATTCAGAAGGGAAATTCAGCTGGCTGACCGGGGGACAATTGATGTTCAGTCTGCGGTCGGCGGTCGGCGGTCGGTGAACGGCGGTCGAAATGCCAAAAATTGCCAAGGAGGTTGTCGGTCGGCGGTCGGGCGGCGGTCGCCGCTTTTCGAACTTCTGGATTGTTCTGACATGATATCTTTTGTGTATTCTGTAGGAATCAAAACCAATAAAATTCATAATTTATGTGTTTACATGGAAATCCAAAAAAAAAAGTTGAAGAAAAAATGAAATTGAGGAGGTGGTGAGGGGGAAACGAGAAATGATTTGTATTTTTTTCAGGGAAAAACAAAGTATTCAGAATTTTTCAGCCGCATTGTTTGTTTTTAGTTTTGTGGGTTTCAAAATTTTCAGCTGCACTTGTAAATGAAGGAGAATCTCACGGGGGAAGGAAGGGAAGAAGATGGGATTGGGGTTACTGTAATTTTTTGTAGTTTGTAGGGTATATGTATAGGCTATATACAGTTGATTGATTTGGGAGACTAGCTGCATTCTTAAAGACTCTTTGGAACCGGGATGAAGATTTTGGGGGAAGGGTAAGGGGGATAGTAGGTCAATTAAAAAAAAAATTAATGCCTACTGTAGTTTGAAAATGGGAAAACACACAAAACACAACGAGAAAAAAGGTAGAGGTCAGCGCATATAAAATAACAAAAAAAGTGAGAGAGAGAGAGAGAGAGAGAGAGAGAGAGAAGAGATTATGCTAGAAAAAAATATTTGGATTTGGAAAAAGATTTGGGAATGCATAGGAACTGTTTGGGAGTATGGAGGGGCGGAGTTTTTGAGATTGTACTATTGATTGAAATGAAATAAATTGGAGTGTCTATCTATCTACAGAAACTTCAGGATCCTTTTTTTTTTGGGGAAGTCGTATTTGAGGAACAGGTCGGAGGAGGTACAGTACCATTTTTCCGTAAATGTCTGGTCATTTTGATCATTTTAAGAAGTCTAGAACTCTGTTGTCAAGTTTCCGCCCTCCAAAATTTTCAAAGTGATCGGAAACTTGACAAACGAGATCCAGACTCCTGAAAATGGTCAAAATAGCCGGCCGGCCGGCCGATCGGCAGCCACCAACCTCTCACCAACCCTTTTCCCAAATATGTCTCTCTTAAACGGGACCATTCAAAAACTACACAAATCGAAATGGTTGATTATGAACCACTCCGGTGTTTGGGGCACTATTATCAAAGAATCCATGTGTCAAAAATGGGTTAACATTGTTGGAAAGTGGTGGTGCCGAATGTGGAGTGAAGCTTCCAACGGATCCAGAAGATCCAGATGATGAAGAATCATCCAACGATCCTCCCAGATTTGTAAATTGATAGAATGAAGTGTAGTTGGCGGTGGCAGCAGCAAGATCGAGTCCAGTGGTGTCGAAAGTTGGGAGAAGTCCCGAGAGAATGTCAGCGACTGGATTGGCAGCGATTGCAGCGACGGTTGGTGTGAGTGCTGGTGCTCCAATGCACATTGGCTCTTCGGAACTCGACGGGGATGACTCATTCTGAACTTCTTCTTTGATGTGGGCGGATAGAACATCGGGTGTCATTACTGCTGATTCTCCCTCTGCGACTGCGGTTTGGGTGGAGACGTCCATTCGTTCGCGGATGTGTTGATTTTGAGAGATGAGCTGAAGTTTTGGAAATTTTATATTTTTTATATCTCCAATTTTATTGTTAATATTTTCTTTGTTTCTGCAATTTTGAAAAGAAAAACCAGCCTGTTTGCCGCGCATCTGGCGCTTCAAGCAGCTGGCTAATGCGCCTTCGGCGCGATTCGATTTTTCGGTTTGTCCCATATCTCGATTCCCGTGAGAGATATCAAAAAGGGATCAACTGATAAAATGTTTATTATAATATCAGCAACATTTCATCAATCGATATATTTTTGATATCTTTTACAGAAATTGAGATAATTGAGCTCAAAATGCAAGTACAGGTAATTAGATCATTGTCTCTAAATTTTTGCACCTTGATTGTCAACTTTGATCTTATTTTCGTAAAAGATATCAAAATTCGTGATATTATGATAAACAGTTTATCAGCTGACTACTTTTTAATATCTTTGACGAGAACCGAGAAAAATTGGCTCGAAGTTGGCTACTACAGGTTTTACAGTAACTGTTAGATCAATTTTGTGTGCCTCCATTAAAGTTTTTAACCCCCAAAAATGTTTTAAACTATTTTCTATATTTCCTAATTACAAATTCCCCATTTTTCAAGTCTTTTGTTCGCATTCTCTCCTTCGAAAACTTAATTATTTCATGTTTCAGCTGCGTTTTCAGTTTTTGCTTTTTTTGAGCTAATTAGGCCAAATTTTAACATTTTTTGGGTTAGAACCTACCTCCGGCGAATCAGCGTCCACATAAAGTTCTACTAGCAAAGAGTCGATTGGAATTCCGAACATTTTGGCCAGCTGCACATTTTCGCCAATTAAAGAGCTCAATTTCTGGAAAAAGTTTAATAATTTTTCAAAATTGTAAAAATTTTCAAATTACCGCCAATGGTGGAAACAGGAGAAGAAGATTCCCAAATCTACTGGTGACATTTGCAATGCTCGATGAGTTGTCCCGGATGAGCTGGAAATTCATTTTCTTTAATAGTTCATAGTCCCTTTTCCAGAAATTCCAATCCTCTATATTTTTCCCCGAGGGGATAAATGTTATTTATAGTTTACTCTGCTAAGATATTTATAGTTTACTCTGCTAAGAAAGTGTGAGAAATAGAAATGGGAATAAATATTTGCACCTGGAGAAATTTCTAATTTTTCTTTTTTTTTCTAGTCTAATCCTATCAGGCTCCCCTCAAATCTAATCAGCGCCTAATTCATCTAGTTTTATTTCAGAATAATTCGTTTTAGAAGATTTATAGATAATTCCAGAAATAGAAAGTTCTAGAAATAGAAAAAAAAAAGGATAAGAACTCACATTAAAAAGTGCATTTTGAACGCGATTTCTGACACCTAAAAGAGCACGAGAAGCATCTGCAGAGAGCCCACGTGCATCCGGATCCAGAATAATTAGAGCTGATAGAATTGAGATTTCTGGATTCGTGAGGCTCAGCTTCTTTGTTGGAGCCACTAAATCATCAAGAACACGACCGACGAAGTTGTTTCCCACCAAACTGAAAAAAGCAGAAAATTTATAATAGCTGATTTTTCGGATCGAACTCCTGAAAGTGCCGAAAAAATCCGACTACGAATTTTTGTTTCGTTAAAAACTAGACAACTAGAGTCTCTGGAAATCAATTTAAAATTTTTCGAATCCTCTGGAAATTTCAATGAATGCTAGACTAGAACAGAACTACGTTTCTAAAGTTGTTAGAGCCGCACAACTCTTACGTGGTTTACCTTATGTGCTTTAATAGAACGCCACCCAATGCGCGCATTTTGGGCTCTATTATCTCTGTAACTATAAAAGATATCAAATATTTGTCAACTGATAAAATCTAATAATTTGACAAACATTTTATCATTTGACACATTTTTGATATCTTTTACAAATATTGAGATAATTGAGCTCAAAGATGACGCTCAGGGAACACTAATTGTAAGGTAATAGTTGGCGGGAGCTTTAATTTATTTTTGAATTTGGCTCCGAAATGCGGATGTTTCAGTTAGAGCAAAGCGTTTTAGCCTGACAGTAAGCCTATAATTTGAACAAAAAGCCAAAAATAATTGGAAAAAATTCAGTGAAAAATGTGAAAATTTCGCCAATTTTCACGAATTTCAGTTTTTCTTTAACTGGTTTTTTTCGAAATTTTTAGGGTTTTTAAAAATTATAGGCCTACGCAAACGTCTTGTTTAAAACGCACGGTTTTGCTTCATTTTTTTTTCGTTTTGTGGCGCCAAATTCAAAAATTTCAGTGCCCCCCCCCCTGAATATGAACTTCGAGCTTAATTATCTCAATTCCTGTGAAAGATATCAAAAATTTGTCAACTAATAAATTGTAGTTAATAATGTGACCAAAACATTGTCAGTTGACAATTTTTGTATTAATCATAAAATTATCAGTATTTTATCTGTCGACGCATTTTTGATAAATCTTATAGGAGCCGAGATAATTGAGCTCAAAGTTTACGGTAGTTAATTTAATGCAAAAAGTAGCAAGATTTCAGTCTGCAAAATTTCAATGTTCCCTTCTTTTTGATCCACTTTTCCCGCGTTTTTCATTCTCCCAAAACTCACTTAGTATCCAATAAATGTCTTGCTGGCTGTCGCCCAATTGTACTTTTGTTGCAAAGACAAATCAAATCTCCTTCCAATGATATTTGTGCAGTTCTCGCGGCAATATTGAAAATTGTGAATGGTCCAATAACGGATTTCAATAGGACTGTTTTATCATGAAGCATATCATGGAGACCACAGAAATTGAACAGCCCATCAATCCATTGAACAGCAGAAACTACATATCGACGAAGAGCAGCAATGAGTTGTTCGACAGATGCCGTTCGGCCGACTGCGTAGGTTATCTGGAATTTTTTTGAATTGTTGGATTGCTCATCCTTAAATCAGATTTACCGGAAAGCTCTCTTGATTTCTGACATATTGACTATGAAATAATGTGGACACATCGAAATCTGGATCACTTTTCATCATCATTGCAATTCCAATTGGCATTGTCTGATTATTATTCCCAAACGCGACGGCTTCTTCCATTTCCAACAAAAAATTCAAAACGCCTCCGTCTTCTGAATTCTGGGCCGGTGCCGGTGAATCACAACCGTTTGGCGATGGTAGTGATGCATCATTACTGTTCTCCGCCTTCATTTTTTTCTTCCTCGGATTTTTTTGTTTTCCGATGACGTCACGATCCGGTCGAATCGCATCTGGCTCCATTCCGACATTCAGGCATCGTTGAAATCGACAATATCTGCATGCGTTTCTCTGATCTTTATCTATGGAGCATTTTTGAGTGAATCTGCATTGGTAGGATTGGTTGGATCGTATTGTTCGCCGGAAAAATCCTTTGCAACCTGAAAAAGAAAAAAATGAGGTTATGGAATTTCGATTCCAGTATTTCAGAGTTGCAGTGATCATTTTGCCTACAATACCGGACAAAAGTTTAAAGTTTTGTAACTTCCATTTTAAAATTGTCTATAGTTATTGTACCAAATCCAAAAAAAAAAAACCGTATTTCCTCTATTAGAAGTCCACAAAAATTTCTCAACTTCAAGCCCACAAATCGCATTTTCTGTGAAATATAAAAAATAAAAACTAAAAACAGATAAAATGTTCCTGGTATTATGATAAATAGTTTATCAGTTAACAAATTTTTGATACCTCTTATGGGAACCAAGATAATTGAGCTCAAAGTTCCTTATATTTTAGTGATTTTTGCGATGCTTTTGTAATGTACACTTTCTGACCGTAATTATCTCAATTTCTATGAGAGATATGAAAAATTTGTCAACTGATAAAATACTCAAGATATTATGATAACCAATTTATCAGTTGACAGATTTTTGATATCTTTTATACGAACCGAGATAATTGAGCCCTAACTTTCAATGTTAAACTCACCATAACAAGCCATGACTCCATAATGTTTTCCAGCCGATCTATCTCCACAAACCATACACTGCCCATCCCCTCCATCAATTCCACTCATCGCCGGTTGACTGAAACTAAGAATTCATAAATAAGAATGAGCAATATTTAGGTTCCGCCCCCTTACCCCTCATCTTCATCAGATCCATGATGTACATAGGTGTACCCCGTCGCTGGAGCAAACATATAGGAGGAATTGTTGCTGGAAAAATGAACTCAATTTGATTTTTAATTAAATTAGAAGATACATAAAAGGAAAAGTTTCAGAGAAAAAGTTTCAGGCGAGATTTGAGAATTAGGTTTTCAAGATTGCGAGCTTTAAGATTGAAAATGAAACATACGAAGTTTCAGAAGGGGCAGAATTCAGAGAACCAGAAAATGTTCCCATTTCATAAAATAAAGGTAAGTGTCCAATTTCCCAAAAATTTCCGTCCCCCTTTTTCCCATTCGAAATCAATTTTTAAGAACCAGTTTCTTGAATCCTCCTACGTCTTCAGATGATGTTATTTTCCCAAAAGAAAGTTTTAGGTAGAGAGGTGAAAGTCGAGAAAAAGAGAGAGAGAGAGAGAGAGAGAGAGAGAGAGAGAGAGAGAGACCCAAAAATTGTCAAAATGGAAAATCAGAAAGAAAAGAGATTTAGAGAAATAAGATGGGGGCTGACCGGTTTTACAGAGGTCGGCAGATTTTTTTCAGGTGATTTCAGTATTTTTTGAATGGATGGGATGGGATTGGAATAGGGGGAGAACTTGGGGAAGAAAATGGGATGGGCGAGGAAATTTTTGAAAAAAAAGATAGAATACATTTTTGTAGCTCTGTGTGTCTGTGTCCAGAATACGTAGTTCGAAGAATTTAGGCAAAAGTGGGCGGGGCTTATAGAAAAGAATAGCGGGGCTAGTTTTAGACATCTAAATCCTGGATCCTGAAGTTCCAAATTCAAGAGACCCAAATTTTCCATCCGGGTTCAAAAATTCCAAATTCCAGGTCTCCGAATTTTGGGGATTCTTGAATTCTAGAAAATTTCAGAATTTCAGAATTTCAGAATTTCAGATTTTCAGAATTTCTGAAGTTCTGAATTTCTGAATTTCTGAATTTCTGAATTTCAGAATTTCAGAATTTCAGATTTTCAGAATTTCTGAAGTTCTGAATTTCAGAATTTCAGAATTTCAGAATTTCAGATTTTCAGAATTTCTGAAGTTCTGAATTTCTGAATTTCTGAATTTCTGAATTTCTGAATTTCTGAACTTCTGAATTTCTGAATTTCTAAAGTTCAAAGCCTCTGAATTTCTGAATATCAGTATTCTCGAATTTCAGAATTTCAAAACTTTGAAATCGGTCTTTTTGAAACTTTCAGATCTTAAAATTTCCAAAAACTTAAAATTTGAAAATCGAACAGAAATAATGACGAGACACGGATGATTTCATTTTATTGAAATCCTTCCAAAGTCTCGATTTCCAAAAAAAGTATCTCAAATTTCCACAAAATTCAAACTTTTCTGTTCAAACTAGAAACTTTTTTGTTGCGAAAAGAAAAAAAGAAAGGTGAGTGTACCAAAAAAAAAAAGAAGCGAAACCTCGCGAGAGCTCCAAATAGGCGGAGCCTCTTTTTTCTCGTTTTTCCGTTTTTGCGTGTTTGTATGTACCCCCAGTTATGTGCCCCGTGTATGTTTGGAACGGAAACACGCATTACATTTCGCTTGGGAAAAAAAAGAGCCCCAAATGGGGTCCATTTTCCAGTAGAGAGGAGAGAAAATGATGAGGTGGAAGGACACGGGGAAAATTGGGACAAAAAAATGAGAAAACGAAGGAGACAATTGTTGAAAAATGTGAAAAAGTTGAAAAAGGAAAAAAAATGAGTTCAAGAAAAGGTGAAAGAATATTTGGGAGAAGGAGGGAGAGGGAAAAGTGGGCGGTGCTTGTTGGGAAGGTGGGAGGAGCTTATTGAGAAGGTGGAGTCTTAGATTCCTAAATTGTCAGATTTTAGGGTTTCTGTTCATCCCGGATTTAGAAATTGCCGAATTCCAGAATTCCAGGCTGTGGAACTTTCAGATTATAGAGGATTCTAGTATTCGTGGGTTTCGACATCACAAGAGGTCCCAAAAAGACCCCGAGAGTTCCCAGAAGTCCAACGAGATACCGAAAATTCAGAGTCCCAAAACTCCACAGATTCAGAGTTCAAGGATACCAAAATTCCGGGATTCTTCGAATCGCGGATTCTGAAGTTCCGAAATTCCCAATCAAAAAGTTCCCCAATTTGAGAATTCTAATTTAGAAGATAAAAGAATTCCGGGATCGTGAGATCTTAAGATTCTGTAGATCGGAGCTCAAAAAAAATCTAAAGGTCCCTAATTTCACAGATTCCAGGCCTCCAGATTTCTAAAATTCTTGGATTCTAGAGGTTTTCAAGATTGGCCGATTTTGAGGTCGCAAAAGGTCCCAAAAGGTCCCAAGAGGTCCCAAGAGGTCCCAAGAGGTCCCAAGAGGTCCCAAGAGGTCCCAAGAGGTCCTAAGGTTCCAGCGTCCTAAAATTCCAGGGATCCAGGATTTTTGAATTCTAGGACTCGTCTAAAGTTTCAAAATTCTAGAAATATACGATTCGAGGAATCTTGAATTCCAGCCAAAATTTTAGGATTTGTGTATTTTGAGATAATAAGATTCAGAAAGTTCCGATCACGTTTTTTTTCAAATTACAGGATTACAAGTTTCCAGTCTTTGATGATTCTAGATTACCAAAACTCAAGATTTCAAAGTCTCCAAATTTCAGGCTTCCGGGATTACGGATTTCTAGGATTCCAAGTTTTCAGAATTTCCGGATTCTAGAACTTCTAGGATTACAGACTTAGGTGCACTTGTACCTAAACTCAATCATATTTCCTTTTCTCCCCCTGATCCAATTTTCTCATTTTGGCTACCAGCTAATCTAGTTCAGAGAGGGTGAAATGCGATTTTTCTTAATAAATTCTCTTTTTTCACCCCACCCAAAAAAAAAACGGAATGATCAAATAATTTGTAACAAATGTCTCCTTTTGTTTACTGTTATTTTCAAATTGGATATATTTTTGAAGAGAACGAGAAAAAAGAGAAAAAGAGAACATGTGGTTGAAAAAATGGGTGTTTTGGAGGAGCGAGAGATATGAGAACAAAATAGAGATTTGATGAATGGAAGTGATAAGAAAACTGAAAAAAAACATATGATTGTCGGTGGTCAGTATCACAAAAAAAAGGAAAAGGAAAAATGGGAAATTTTGGATTTCTTGGGGATAGCTTTGGGAAAAATTCTTGGTTTTTTAGAAAATTATGGAATTATAACCTTGGACTCTGTGAAATTTTGTTTTCAAACTCATAAAATCAAAGAAAACTTTAGTTTAGGATTCTTGAAAATGTTTGCGATCAGACTTAAATTTCAGGATTCTGAATCCTATTTCAGAGTGTCTAAGTTTCGGAATTTAAAGATCTTTAAATCTATCAAGAGACCAGAATCTTAGAATTTGAAAACATTAAATTCTTGAATTCCGGAAAATCCGATTTTCGAACTTTCTAGATTCTAAGACATCAGAGTTTGTAGAAAGATCAGAATCCCGGAATCTCAGAATCTCAGAATCTCAGAATCTCAGAATCTCAGAATCTCAGAATCTCAGAATCTCAGAATCTCAGAATCTCAGAATCTCAGCATCTCAAAATCTCAGAATCTTAGAATCTCAGAATCTCAGCACCTCAGAATCTCAGAATCTCAGAATCTCAGAATCTCAGAATCTCAGAATCTCAGAATCTCAGAATCTCAGAATCTCAGAATCTCAGAATCCCGGAATCTCAGAATCTCAGAATCTCAGAATCTCAGAATCCCGGAATCTCAGAATCTCAGAATCTCAGAATTTCAGAGTTTCAGAATCTCAAAACTTCGGAACTTCTGAATTTCTGAACTTCTGAACTTCAGAATCTCAATATTAGTATCTCCGGAAACAACTGATCTTCAATTTTTTTTTCGAAACTTGACAAAAAGAAACTAATTTCTTCTCTTCCAGAGGAGGCACTTCAAAAAAAGAAAATTCAACAATTTCCTGTCAAAAACTTCCCTTTTTTCCCAAAAGTGTTTTTTTTTCTACTTCGTTTTATCTTTTCTTGTCCTTCTCATCTGTATAGAATACAATGACGTCTACTGAATCTCTTCTATTCTTTTTTTTTTCTGAAAACAGGTTAGTCGTATTTTACAGGGTCATTTTGTGTCTTTTCTCTCTATTTTTTGGCCGTCACGTGTCTCCTGTTTCCGACTGATAAGTCGTAAAGATCCCTAAAAATTTCAAGGGAAATTTTAGAGTTATTGGAGAAAAACAACGCGAGAAAGCTTTTGAAGATAAATTTTGAAAGCAAAAATTGAGAGACTGGATTTAAAGGCACATATCTCGAAAACTACGGTAACTAGAAAGGAAATTGTCAACTGATAAAATGTTTAAAAATTTATAATAAATAATTTTGTAATTAACAACTTTTATCCAACTACTGTAGTTTGTGAGATATGCGTCTTTTAAACTTATGCGCCTCTTTTCCCAATATTTCAGCGAAGAGGTGCGCCAACTTCAACGGCGCATATCTCAAAAAATACAATAGCTAGAAAATAGTTGTCAATTGATAAAATGTGTAAAAATTTATAATCAATATTTTTGTAGTTAACAATTTTTTTCTATCTACCGTAGTTCGCGAGATATATTGCCAGAACTACGGTAGCTAGAAAAAAAAGCGAACTAAATGTTTGAATTAAATTTTGTAAAAAGGAAAAAAATCGAATAAAAATTTCTTCGCAACTTTTTTTTTGACAAAAAAATTGAAAATTGTGTTATCAGTTGCCGAAAAAGAGAAAAAAAGAAGACGATTCTAAGAACAAACAAATAGACATTCACAAATTATGACGTCATTCGAAAAAGAGATACTGTAGTTTTTGGGTGGGAAAACATGAATGTTTCGATGACCATGTGGTGCGAAACATAAACGAAATAAGGTCGAATTGAACGAAAAGATCTTTAATTTTACAAAAATGGGATTTATCGAGTTCTAGAAATTTCCAAAGTCTTGAAATTCAACATTTTACAGTATTTCCAGATCCTCCTAAACTTCCAGAAACATCTGAAAAATGAAACCCAGGAAGAGAAAAAAGTTGTTTAGCACAAGAAGGAAAAAAAAGAAGCGGAAAATTGAGTACATTGGAAATTTGATATCTGCCGGAGGGGTTTGAAAAAAATGGAGAGGAAGGGGCAAAAAATATGACATGTGTTCAAAAAAAGATACATAGAGGATTGGGATTCTTTGTAGGTTGGTTTGAGAATTTTGGGGTTCAAAAATTATCAGGAATTCGAAACTTTCAGATTCTCAAAATGGATTCAGAAATTCAGAAATTCGAAGATTCGAAAATTCAGAATTTTAGAATTTCAGAATTTTAAAATTTAAGAATGACAGAGTCCCAAAATATCAGTCCTAAATTTTCATGATTTCACGTTTCCATATTTCCAGAATTCTTTGATTCTAGAAGATCCAGGAGACCTAAGAGCTCCTAAAGGTTCTTAAATCCATGAAACCTGAATTCTACGATGTTGAAAACTCAGATTTTAAAGATTTGTGAATCCCAAAATGTTTAATATTCGAAAATTTGAAAGTCTTGTAAATTCTCAAAATCATGGAAAAACAAAGTTTTGAGAAATTGGAAAAAAAATCTCAAAATCATGAAGATTCAAAATTTTGAATATTCGAAATTTAGAGTTTACGAGATTCGGATGGACTTCACAACTCTGAAAATTTTGAAACTCCGCTTTTTTGAAAACGGATTAGTTAATGAATTAGGATTCCGAAATTCAGCGGTTTTTCTATCACGGATCACATACCGTAAACCTGTATTAAAAGAGCACCCACACTGTTAACTTTGACCCACTTTATCTCGGTTGATGTGAAAGATATCAAAAAGTTGACCACTGATAAAATATTAGTGATATTACGATAAACAATGTATCAGTTGACAGATTTTCAATAACTGTTACTGGAAAGAAGATAAATGGGCTTAAAGTTGACGTATAGGATGGGCTTCGAGAGAAATACGGTAGTTACTTAAAGAAAAATTAATTCCTTATTATTCCTATTTCTAATTCTGAAACTTCCTAAGCTCCGCCTTCTATTCCCCACACTTCCTCGTGACTCATATATTTTAAGATCCAACCCAATTGAGATTCCAATACCAAAAAAAGGAAGAAAAATCAAAGAAAAAAATAAAGGGAAAAAAGAATGAATAATGATGAGAACTAATGAGAAAGGAGTGCTAGTGTAGTCTTTAGAGAAACCTGGAAGTGTATTCCCACATTTTTTTTCCTTTTTTTTCCTCTTTTCTTTGGGACCTTCTTAGTTCCGCTCCTCCCCTCCCATCCATCCCCCACGTGCTCCTCCATGTTTCTACATCTTTTTTCCCTTTCATTTTCTCCCTCCCGTTTTTCTCTTTTTCTCGATTTTCTCTATCTTTTCGTTTCGTGTTCTCTACCTAATCTCTCATTTTTCCATACTACTTTCTTTCTCTGATTGTCTAGACTCTCTGAATCTCTCGTCTTCTTTTCCCTCAATGTCCGTGAAAGGGGGGTCACTCAACCATTCTCGAATGTTTCAAAAGAAAAAAAACGGAGGAGGGACGGAAAAAAAGGAAAAAAAAACGAGAAAAAAAGCGATGTAATTTCATTCTGGGGCTACTTTTTTTCGCTGGAAACTAGGGGAAAGGAGAGAGAGAGAGAGAGAGAGAGAGAGAGAGAGAAAAGGAGCAAACTAGATGCATTACCAAAGTTATAATATTTTTAATAAAATCTTGAGAAGATGTAAACAACTTTTATGACATGTTTGGGGTAGAGCAAAATGTTTCTGATTTGTAGCAATATAGAGTTTCTCGGGGAGCAGAAAGGTGTGGGAGAACAAAAATTCTAGGATGGATTTTAGGAAATTTTCTTAAAATTTCTGAATTTCTGAATTTTTGAATTTCTGAATTTCTGAATTTCTGAATTTCTGAATTTCTGAATTTCTGAATTTCTGAATTTCTGAATTTCTGAATTTCAAGGAAAATAGGACATCTGAACAAACAGATTCTGGACTCATAATTCTGAAAATCATCTAAAAATTATAGAATTCGACATTCTGAAAAACTTCTAGAAATTCAAAAATTCAAAATTTGGAAACTTTTCTAGAAATTCTAGAATTCAGTATTCTGAAAATTTTCTAGAATTTTGAGATTTCAAGATTCTAAGAGTTTTTTTGTAATTTTTGAATATTGAAAGTTGAGGATGATTAGGGGATTCTAGAATTTTTAACTTTTTAAAATTTACAGAATCCGAAATTTTGGAAATTTTAGTATTTCAAGATTTCTAAAAATTTATGAAGACTGTTCTAGAAGAAGTTCACATTTTGGATATCTCTTACAGTAACCCAGATAACATGGCTCAGAGTGAAAATGGGTCCTTTTATTACAGTTTTTTTTTCACCAAATTTAGATTTTTCTTATTGCAAAATATTTCTCACTCCAATATTATCTTTTCCAACTTTGACTTTTCAAGCCCTTAAAATAAAAATAGTTGTTTTTTCGCAAAATTTTGTTTTCGCTTCACTGATCTGATTTTTAGCATTTTGATTACTGACAAAAAAGTACAAATTTTTTCGAAAAATCAGAAGCCAGAGCAAAGATTTTAAGACATTTTTCAGCTGAAAATAGAATCACAAGTATCTAAAAGTACAGTAATCCCAAAAAGTTCTTGTTCTTTCTAACAAAGATCGCAGTGGTATTTCGTAAAAAAGAAGGGAATTAAAGAGAAAAAAGTGACAAAAAAGAAGAAGCGAAAACTGATAAGAAACATTTCGGTTAGAGAATATACTAGATTTTTTATGATCACAATTTTTTTTCTCTGTTGGACAGAAAAATTTGGGGAAACTGTGTGATAAAATAAAATATCATGGGGTTTTCCATTCCAGAAAATGCGTTTTTTGAGTGACGAAAAATGGGAAAATCATATGATTTTAAAAAAATGAACTGATAAAATGCAATTATGGAAAATAGAAGCTTTTGAAGCTGAAGAGAAGAGAAGCACTCTAATAGACCCCTTCAACTTTGAGCCTTTTTATCTCGGTTCCTATTAGAGATAATACTATTGTGATAAATAATTTATCAGTTGACAGATTTTTTTAATCTTTTACGGAAAACGGGATTTGACTGTTTTGGGGGCAACCTCAGCTTGCGCCACCGTATCTCCGGTGGTATCGGCGCGGCACCTTTAAGCTAATTTGTCTCGGTTTCCGTACAAGATATCAAGAAGCCGTAAACTGATAAAATTTTTATCATAATATCACCAATATTTTATCAGTTGATCACTTTTTGATATCTATCACATGAAGCGAGATATACGAGCTCAAAGTTGACGGTTTAGGAGCATTCTACTAGTGTTAACGGTAGCTTGGATTCTAATTTTTATGGTTTCAAGGTTTTGAAGTTTGGTATTTCTGGTAGTCTGAGATTTCAGAGCTTCAGGATTTTCAGATTACGTTTTCTGAAATATCCAGATTTTCAACTCTTATAGAACTGCGAAATTCCAAAAACATAAGATTCTTTGGTTCTCAAATGTTAGAATTCAAAAAAATCGGAATTTTTTGGATTCTTATAAATTCTGGTAAAGTTCGAATTTTGCGGTTTCAAAAAAATTGAAAACTTAGAATTCCTTGGGAATTTCATTTCAGAAAAATTCCTGATAATAATAGATTCTTCAATTTACCGTAAAACCTGCAATAGAAGAGGCCCCACACTGTCAACTTTGAGCTCGATTATCTCGGTTACTGTAAGAGATATCAAGAATTGGTCATCTGATAAAATATTGGTGATATTATGATAAATAATTTATCAGTTGACAACTTTTTGATATTTTGACAGTAAAACAGATAACTAAGCTCGCGAAGTTAATGTTAAAGTTAAAAGTTAGGTACCCTTCTATTACAGGTTTTGAGATAGTTTTGAAAAAACGTTCTAGATCGTTTGAACCATAAAAAAACTTTAAATGGAACTCTGAAAATAACAAACAACTTTTCCAAAACTACCATAATCCTCACATTGTTAAAACATTTTATCTTTTCAGGCTGAAAAAAAAAGAAAAACAGATGTTTTTGAATGCGATTTAAGAGAGAAAAATGAATAAAAACACCTGAATATCCAAACATTTTTCTCTGGCAAAGTTTACACAAAAAGGAGAACATAGGGGAGAAAAAAGTTACATATATATTTTCTATATATTGTGTTTCTTTTTTTTAGAATTGTCGTAGTCGAAAAAACCGAAAAGAAAAGAAAACGATCGTCGTCAGAGAGAAATTTAGAGATAAATCGAGGGTGGAGGATGGCCAGAGAAAAAAAACAGACGATTGAAAAATGAGAAATAGTGTGGGAATTGGGGAGGGTGGTTAGAGAAAGCGAGTATGTTTACACTTTCAAAGGGGGGACGACTCGCAGGCGCCCGGCGAGAGAGAAGAGAGAGTCAGAGGCGCAGAGAAAGAAATTGAATTTAAAGGCACATGTTTATTCTTTTCTACAGTGTTTTTGGAGGGAAAAAAGCACTAGATGTTTCTTCTAAAGTTGTCCAAAGCTCAAATTCGTAAACATGTTGTTGTGGTTTCCCAAAAATGATGCCAATAAAACATCGAAAATTTGGCTGGCGCGCCTTTGGCGCTTTGGGATCCTACAGTAATCCAGATAGTATTATTCCGCCAAAAATACACAATTTCCGAGAATCGGGACGAAATCCAAAGATACCAAAATCAAAATTCTTTGAATGTTTGTCAAAAAAAATCAATAATTTTCTGAAATTATTAGATTTGTGAATTTTTGAATTTCTGAATTTCGGAATCTCAGACTCTCGATATTTCTGAATTTCAGGATTCCAGGATTTCAGAATCTCAGAATCTCAGAATCTCAGAATCTCAGAATCTCAAAAACTCAGAATCTCATCAGAGAATTTAAGTATTTCAGAACTTCCTGGAATTTATGAATTTCCTGTGATTTCTGATTTTCTGAATTTCTGAGTTTCTCAAATTTTTTTATTGCCAAATTTCCCAAAACAGAATTGGTACATCTGGACAAACAGATTCTGATTGACAATATTCAATCACTCCACATCATCACCTGGCAATCCAGTAATTTATCGAAACCAGAAAAAAAGTTGACACAACAGGTGACTTTCTTTAATTTCTCAAACTTCTCTGCGTCTCTTCCCTCTCACACAGTTTTTTTTGTGCTGGATCCATTCTGCAACACAAAGATAGATGGTTTGAGAAGGAGAAAACACATACGACATGACAATTTTTTGAAGTGAGTGAGAGAGAGAGAAAACCAAAAATTTTCGAGTTATTTTTTTGAGCTGTTCAGGTGGCATTTAGCAAAATTGATGATGATAGGGTGACGTTCCGAATGAGAAGACGAGCAAGAAAAGAAAAGAAAAAAGAAGAAAAAGAAAAATAGAAAATGAGATTGGTTACGGGAAGATTTATGTGCGGAAAGGGAAGAGATGGGAGAGGAGAAGGGATTGCATGTTTTAGAAATAGAAACATTCAAAAAGAAGAAACTTTCAGAGTTATCAACTTTCTCTTTCTCACTCTCCCTCTCTCTCTCTCTCTCTCTCTCTCACTCTCTCTCTCTATCTATCTATCTCTCCTTGTAGTAGCAGAGCGCTGACACGGTATATTTTGAGCTCAAATATCTCGGTTCCTATGCAAGATACGAAAAAATGTGTAAACTGATGAAATGTTAGTGATATTATGATACACAATTTATCAGTTGACTACTTTTTCAGACATCAAAAATTTTAGGGGACAGTTTGGGGGACGAAATCGCGCCGCGCTTATGGCCATCGGTCGTCAGCCGGCGTTTGCGCCCCCGTAGCTCAGCCGGTAGCGGCGCTATACCCCTGAGCTGCCTGTCATGAGTTCAACTCCTCATGGGGGTTCTTTAGGAAAAATATCAAGAAAACTTTTTTTAATGTCTGGACTCCTTTAAAGAAATGTAGCTCTTTCAAAATCACCCAACAATTTTGAATCACAAAAAAAAAATAGAAAAGGGGTTAGTCTTTTTGGAATTTGCATATCAAAAGAGAAACATTCGCTTTTGATTACAAATTCAAAATCCTGTCTATGGGAAAAACAAAAATTGGTTGGTGAATGGCACGGACTAGTGAAGAGAGTCTAGTTGATGACAATTTATCTCGGTTTCTGTAATAGATATCAAAAAGTTGTCAATAACAAAACATTTTTGATACTAAAACAGCATTTTGTCAGTTGGCAACTTTTTGTTATCTCCTACAGGGCCTGAGATAAATTGGTTCAAAGTTGTTTTCGGTGCTGCCTAAGATACCTCCCAAACTGCCTACTTTGAGCCCGTATATCTCGGTTTCTGAAGAAGATGTCAAAAAGTAGTGAACCGATAAAATGTTTTAATATTATGATAAACATTTTATCAATTGACCACTTTTTAATATATTTCGCAGGAACCGAGATGTATGAGCTCACAATTAAAAAGTCGGCTCTAACCGGCGATCTCTTAACTTGGAGCTTATATATCTCGGTTCCTGTAAGAGATATCAAAAAGTTGTCAACTGATAAAATGTTAGTGATGTTATGATGAACATTTTGTTAGTGGACCACTTTTTGATATCTTTTACAGGAGTTGAGATATATAAATTCTATGTTGAACGCTTGCTTGCGCCACCGTAGCGCAGCCGGTAGCGACGCGGCCCCTCCAGCGGTGGGTCCACAAGGTCAACTCCTTGAGAAGCGTATATAAACGGAACTTCAAGAAAATTATTCATTCATGTCACTGTTATACTTGGAAAATCAAAAAAATTCTTTTTAAAACCAGAAAAAAACTCTCCACAGACATTTTTATGATCTCGATTTTTTGTTCAGTACGGGGATCAGCGATCGGATAAAACAAAGTGGGATAAAAAAGGGGATTTCGAAAAAAGTGATCTAGAAAAAAATTCGAAATAAAAGTTTTACAGCCTTGTGTCAATTCGGGTCGAATTCACAAATAAACAGTTTTATGGCTGGCTAGATAAACATGAAAAAATTGGGATTTTTTTGTCGGCAAATATTGTCTGTGTATCAGAGAACCAATTTTGGTGGCCTAGCAGTTTCGAGGGAGGGTGGCCTAGAAATTTTGGATTCCTAGGCCACTCTAGGTTAATAATGTTGAGCAAAAGTGTCTTGACTCTCGAAAACAAGAAATTCAATTATACCGAAAAACAGGTGTAAAATTGGATTTGGGATAATTTAACATGTGAAAAACTCCTGCCATTTTTCTTCAGAAATTTGTTCCATAGACAAAATTAATACACTTTTTGCACTCGGGACATTCGAGGCCGAAATTTTTAAAGGGGAGGGATTTTTTTTCGCAGGAGGAGAGGATTAGCTATTTGGAACAGACAGAAAATCGGAAAAAATAGAGAAAAAAGTGTTTCAAAACGTCTGTAGTGCAGGCAAGGGCTGTTTAAATTGAGGTCAAGAAGTCGTACCACGTCAGAGATTAGTACAGTAATCCTGAAGTATTACGATTTTGAAACTTCGAAATTTGAATGTTCTCAGGTTTTCTGAGTGAATTAACGAATCTCAGAATCTCATAATCTCAAAATCTCAGAATCTCAGAATTCCAGGATCACCAGATCTCAGAATTTCAGAATTTAAGAATTTCGGAATTTAAGAATTTCGGAAATTCCTGGGATTTCTGAATTTACTGGAATTTCTGAATTTCTGAATTGCTGAGCTTCTGAAATTTTAAATTGCCAAATTTCCCAAAAAATATTGGGACATCTGGACAAACAGATTCTGATAAACAGTATCCAATCACTCCACAACATCACCAGAATCTCAGAATCTTAGAATCTCAGAATCTTAGAATTCCAGGATCACCAGATCTCAGAATTTCAGAATTTAAGAATTTCGGAATTTAAGAATTTCGGAAATTCCTGGGATTTCTGAATTTACTGGAATTTCTGAATTTCTGAATTGCTGAGCTTCTGAAATTTTAAATTGCCAAATTTCCCAAAAAATATTGGGACATCTGGACAAACAGATTCTGATAAACAGTATCCAATCACTCCACAACATCACCAGAATCTCAGAATCTTAGAATCTCAGAATCTTAGAATCTCAGAATCTCAGAATCTCAGAATCTCAGAATCTCAGAATCTCAGAATCTCAGAATCTCAGAATCTCAGAATCTCAGAATTTCAGAATCTCAGAATCTCAGAATCTCAAAATCTCAGAATCTCAGAATCTCAGAATCTCAGAATCTCAGAATCTCAGAATCTCAAAATCTCAAAATCTCAGAATCTCAGAATCTCAGAATCTCAGAATCTCAGAATCTCAGAATCTCTGTATCTCAGAATCTCAAAATCTCAGAATCTCAGAATCTCAGAATCTCAGAATCTCAGAATCTCAGAATCTCTTAGAACCAGTATGTCTTAGAGTGTGAAAGTCCAGGTGCCTAGATTCTCCAATCTGATAACTTCAAAATATGAAACTTAAGAAAATTTAGGGAAAAACTGATAAATTGTTTAAAAAATGTATTTATCACAAAACCCAGGCATACATCAAGCAGAAAATGAAGTACTGATTTGCATGCCAATAATGAATTATTCAACAAAAATTACAGATTCAAAAATTCTGTCTATTATGGAAAGATAATTATTTGGTGAATGGTACGGTACGGTAGAAAAAAGTCTAGTTGACATTAATTGAGAAAATTTTTTTGAAAATTCAGGACTTTTTACTGTACAAACTCAAACGAAATATAAAAGATTTTCGAAAATATTGGAAAATTTTCCGATCCAGATTCCGATTTTATTAGATAATTAGATTACGAATTTTCAGAAATTCCAAAATTTGACGATAGTAAATTTTTAGATAATTGTTTATCATAATTTCATCAACATTTTCCTTGTTGGCAAATTTTTGATATCTCTCCCAGGAATCGAGATATTTGATGTTGAAGTTAACGGTTCGGTTGTTCCTACATATTAAAGGAAATACAGTATTTTTAAATGATTCAAACTGCGTAATTTTTGAATTTCTATGGTTTTAAAAGTTTTTGAATTTTTTTGGAAGCTAATAAAAATATTTCAGTGAAGAGTCAATGCGGTAATTTGGATCTAGTCTAGTACCACGATTCAAAACCAAACATCCTCAAAAGTTTACAAAATTTGCAACACTCAATATGTAACTATGTGATTTTCTCTGTTTTGAATAGTCAAAAGAGGAGACATTTCGGGAGGGGACGTACGGCGGGGGTTCAATAAGTGTTTGTGTACTTTGCATTTAGTATCTCCCACCACCATGTCTTTTCATTTCCAAAAGTGTGTGTTCTCAATTCATACCGTTTTTCTTTTCGTCAGATTCTTCACATGTTTCGTTCATGGGTTTCATTGAAAAGGAGACGAGATTGAGAGGGGTGGGAAAATATTTATTTGGGGATTACTGTAAGGGAAACTACAGTAATCCGGTAAGACGAGAATTGAACATAAAGAATTGGGAAAATTGAAATCCTTAAAATCGTTTCCGGTCTTTTCAGGATCTCAGACTTCCAGGTTCTTAAACTACCCAATTTTCCAAAATTTCAGATTATGTGAATTTCAGAATCTTAGAACTTCAGAATTTTAGAATAACAGAATAACAGAGTTTCAGAATCTCAGAATCTCAAAATCTCAGGATCTCAGAATCTCAGAATCTCAGAATCTTGGAACATCGGAATTTCAGAATCTCACAATCTTGGAATCTAGGAGTATCGGAATCACGGTGGAGCAAACTTGAAACATACCGTAAAACCTGTTTTAGAAGCTGGCCCTTCTATTGTTTCAAAGTACCTCCGGAGAGCCCTTCTATTACAGGGGCTTTTCAATTAGAGGGGACCCTTCTATTTTTCCGACCCTTACTCTCGAAAGTTTTCATCGAAAAATTCGACGAATTTCCGTTCAAAATTTATGAAAAACTGTCATATTTACCAAAATGTAGCAAGTTTTTCATCGAAAAATAGAGTTTCAACAAATTTCTATTAAATTATGGAGTTCCCGGAATAATTTTCACAGAAAAAAATAACTGAAATTTTCTGATTTCAAAACACATTTTGAAGGGGGTCCTTTTTCACAGAGGGCCCTTCTATTACGGAGCCCTTTTATTACAGGGGGCTCTTATATTCTTCCGAACCCCTCTCGGAGGGCCCTTCTGTTAGAGGGGCCCTTCTATTAAAGGGGCCCTTCTAATACAGGTTTTACGATATGTACAAAATTTTGCACCAAGAAAACCTTGTGTCTAGGCTACACTGTCTATATTCTCTCTCTCTCTCTCTCTCCTTCGTTCTCCGGCCCCGAAAATCAAAAAGTTTGTGTACTTAAAGAGTTTGTCGTCATCATAATCGTCTCCTACTTCACAGGCGCATAATGTTCCTCAAATCTACAGTAACCCGCACTTTTCATTTCAAACTACACTCGTTTCCAAACTAATAGTTACATTTATGGTTCGGTCTCTTCAAATTCTATACTATTTCTTCTAACTGTCTGCATACACATGAAAATGAAACTCGTGAGGTTTTGACGAGAGAGTGTGAGGAGTGAGGAGAGTGTCAGAGAAAGAAAAAAAAAAAGAAAAAAAGAACAAATACAACGATAGTCCCCCCGTCTGTAGAGAGGATTGGAGGAGGTTGAATTGGGGAGAAACAACCGAAACAGACCAGAAAAAAGAGAAAAAAAACGTTCCCATTTTTGTATAGAGACATTTTATGGGGAAGAGAAAACAGATAGTTTGAGAGTGTTCTACGGAAAGTTTCAAGTGGAGAAAGTCTTCGACTATCTGACTGACCATATGTGTGTCCATATGGGGCAAAATCAACAGATACGGATATATTTTGAAAAGTACGGATTTTGGGATTTCACCGATTTCGAGAATTCCAAAAAATGCCAAGTTCTGAGACTTTCAAAATCTGAAATTTTGAGATTAAGACCTTTCGAAGTTACAAGTTTCCGACTATGCGTCTGAAATAAAACACTGAAGTTTAAATTCAAGAGTTTGAACTTGGATTCTGAATTTAGTAACACAGGGTAACGGCTGCGCGCATATAGGATGCTATGTGCACCCATAATAATTCCGTGGGTAGCGCGTGCGCGCTATATGCGTCGTCGCTGGGCACGACTGGTCGCCGGTGGGCGCACCCATATAGCATCCATTTACGCTTTTCCCATGAAAACGACAACCCACCAACGACACTCCGCTATTACGCTAGTGCGCGTTGTTTAGCAAAATTTTTCACCGCCGATCTTGATCAATTTTTCGATCATATTGATCATATTTCCTGCCTTCAAAGAACTTCTCACTGTTTTCACATGTACAAATTATGGCTAACGAAAATAAAACTAATTTTTAGTAAAAAAATAGGGAAAACTTTTTACAAAATCCGGTTTTTCTTGAAATTAGGACTTTTCTGTTTTACTTCGGAATAAGCGGAATAATATATTTCTCAGGTGAAATACAGGTTGGTTGGTGATTCTGAGATTCTGAGATTCTGAGATTCTGAGATTCTGAGATTCTGAGATTCTGAGATTCTGAGATTCTGAAATTCTGAGATTCTGAGATTATGAGATTCTGAGATTCTGAGATTCTGAGATTCTGAGATTCTGAAATTCCGATATTCTGAGATTCTGATATTCTGAGATTCTGATGTTCTGAGATTCTGATATTCTGATATTCTGAGATTTTGAGATTCTGAGATTCTGAGGTTCTGAGATTCTGAGATTCTGAGATTCTGAGATTCAAAGTTTCAGAGATTCAGAGATTCAGACATTCAAGGATTCTGAGACACTGAGATTCTGAGATTTCAAAAAATCTTCGAAACTAGAACAATTATGTAGTCTGGCTGCCCAACGTGCTTGCTTGATCGTCAATCTCTAGACTCTCCAAAATTCAAATTTCAGATTTATGTATTATCTCCAAATCTAATCAGTTCCATCCTTATTAGTAAAAAAAAATTGGAAGTGATAAGGATTAACAGATCACTATACGTATACTTATGAACTCTTTAAGTTGTTGTGACGGACTTATAAACTGAGATAGATGGAAGCAAATGGGATGAAAATAAATGACTAATATTTTTTGAAAGGACAGAAATCAGGAAACAGAGAAGTGCAGAATGTTGAGATTCCATCTCTTTAAAGGTGGTGTACGGTGAAATTTTTTATTGCATCAAAATGTGCAGAAATGCATGTAGATTGACATAAAAATAAAGAAAAAATTCGAAAAAAATTCCTTCATCGAGAAAAACGCATCGAAAAATACGCTGAAAGCCCTTCGGGACGAGGTTTTTTTTAGGCCGCCCGGTGAGTAAAAGCGCGCGAATTCAAACTTTTAAAATTTTTTCGCTCGTTTTCACTTTTTTTCGGTTTTTTCAAGAGTTT